AATCACATGACCATAGGAGAGCTGGACGGCTAGAACTCTGAGGACTGGTTCATAACAACCATTCAGCCTGTTGTAAGTTGGAATGGTTGCTGATGCACAATTGTAGGCAAGGGTGGGATGCAAATATTTTTACTACCATTTCTGTGGACGTGGCTAGGTGGGCATGACCATGTGACTGAGTTGGTGTGGCTTTTTTGAGTGCAGCACCCCGGCCTTCCAGGTTTTTTGGCCTCCTGGGGGGACGTTTTTGCTCCCAGGAGGCTTCCCTGAGGCCTAGGAAGGCAAAAAAGGGAGTGCGGTGGGGGGCTGTGCAGCACCCGTGCTCCGTTTTTTGCCTTCCTGGGCCTCAGGGAAGCCTCCTGGGCGAAGCAGTAAGACAGCGAGGGGGACACAGCTGATTGTCGGAACAGCTGATGGTTGGGAGGGGAAAAAAAGGAAACCGAACTGGTAGCAGTTGTTTTGCTACTGGTTCGGCCAAACGGTAGCATTTTTTACTACTGGTTCGCGTGAACTGGGCCGAACCGATAGAATCCCACCACTCATTGTAGGCCGATGACTACTTGTACATTACAACTAGTCCTCACTTAATGACTGCCCTATTAGGCAACCATAGTAGGCTATATCGAAGTTTTCATGTATCTTCTCTGCTACCAATTTTTAGCAATAATATTTAGAGGATCAACGGAGCTTGCAGTTATATATCCTTGCTGTTAACTGTAAAGAATGGATAGCATCTGGATCATGGTCAACACACATAGTAGAAAGATACATTTATCAGACACAAATGATAAACTGTTCTACATGCCACAAGAAGACTGGAGGGGGTACTAGTTTCTCTCCCTTTTATTTTAATATTTCAGTAAAAAGTGCTACCAAAAATAAAGAAACAGCTCGACTTCTCTTCACATGAAAAGTTGCTTACTTGAAGCCACTGAGCATTTTTTAAATTAAACTCAACCATATTTAGAAGAAAATTGTATGCTTCCTATTTCGGAATTATGTTATTCCACCTTTCAGCAACAATCCAAGTCGTTTTCAATTCTGGACACAGAAGATTCTCATAAGGCTTCAGAATTATGCTCTCTGCATGATCTACAGCTTTTTGTCAGGCACAAGCAACCAGAACTATTCGTGGATCGACCCAAACAGATATTTCATTGTTGATCACCTATATTACAAGATTCTAACCAGATAGGCTGCCTTCACCTGAGATAGAACAAATATAGACCCATAAGTTTGATGCCAAACATTTTCTCCTCCAAATGGATTCTAAGCTGGAATGTTTCTTTACTCTCCCTGGTGGGGTTTCTCCCTTTCAGTTGGTGGCTTTACCATATTTTTCCTCACTGATATGCTAGAGAACTCGATTTTTGCTGTTTGCGATATTACTCCCCACCCCAATCCAATTAGAGATAGTTGTTGGTTAATAATGTTAATTAGAACTGGAATTTCCATTGTTAAAGTGATGCAGCTATAAAGCGTGACATCATGTGACTGCACTGCTTAATGATGGCAATTCTAGCTGTAGCCAGTTACCATTGTTAAGTAAATACTGGGTCATTAAGCAAGGGTTTCAAGTGTTTATGATTTCCAACTTCCTGCCAGTTTCCCCGTTGACTTTACTTATATGGGAAGCCAGCAGGGAAGTTTGCAAATCATGAGCATGTGACCGCAAGGGCATTGCACCAGTCAGAACTATGATAACCAGTCATATCTACCGTTCGTTCAGCTTCTTATAATTTAAAATCATTCAATGTAAAGATCCATTCAATCAAAAGTACCTAAATAATTCAGGTTTGCTATAACACACTGTTAATTTCCTGGTGCAAATATACAAGGGAAAAATAAAAGTAAATAGAGGGCTTTATCTCTATGTCTGTAAATAACATTGCCCTATGTCTGTAGTCCAGAGGCATACACATTCACCAAACCCTTTTTGATAAGAGTATACTGTCAGTATAAACCCTGGGAATTAAGGTAATTTTAGCATTACAAGGGTGTTAACAATGGTATATACATCCTAGAGAAGGCTATTTATGTGGATGCTAATATTTAACAAGGACCTGATGGCACAATCAATTGTGCATGCAACTTTACTATGACTATCTGCTCCTATTTTTAAAACATATATCCCTACATCATCTGAACATTTGTGCTTTCATTTGTGTGCAAATATATGCCATTTCCTCTGAAATTATCATTGCAACATGTAAAATATTATGAGTTATATTACTCATTAGCAATACTATAACATTAATGTTTCAGTCCAATAAGAAGTCATCAACTCTCTCCATAGCAAATGATATTTGTCTTTTTGACTTCAAACGATAGTACTTTACCAGAATTTAGTTTTGCTTTTAAATCCTATGCCCTGTTAAATTAAATCAATGATATAACAAATTATATTTGTTTATGGACTAAATAATATCTTCAAAAAATGCTATAAACTCCTAGTAAAAACATTATTTCTTTAGAATGCATACTTTCTTTTCATTCATCTCTTAAAAATGCTTTTAACAGTAATGTATTTCATTTTTCAAAGTTTAAGTTTATAAATTGCTTCACTTTCTTAAATAGCTGAAATAAAATTCAGCATGCATTTGGGCTATGCTTTTATATTAGTCAGAACATACATCTTATTTTTGTTTTTAAGGTCACAAATCTCTTGTACTCTCTTATCTGAGAATAGGCCTCAGTTTTGTATTTATATTACGACTCATCTCTTTTCACTTAGTTCAACAAAACTTCTATGTATGTATGTATGTGTTCATATATTAGTTCAGCGGTCGCCAACCAGTGGGCCGCAGCCCACTGGTGGGCCATGAGAAAATTTTGGTGGGCCGCAGAGAAATCTCATCCCCAGAGCACACCCCCCAAAGCAATTAATCCAGGCTGAGCAGAAACACAAGACTACTTAAGCCCACATGGCCCGCAGGAACCCTCCCTGCCCACTCACTCCTTACCCGGCAAACTTGTCTGCTAAGTTGCTATTTTTCCTTTTTCCGACCATCATCTGTTCTGCTGTGCCGGGAGATTTAGATTAGCTAGGAAGCAGGAAATGGTTGGATTTCTTGCTTTCTAGCCAAGCATAGCCAAACCTCCCTTTGCAGACTCACAGCAAGCAAATTTGAGACTGATCTAGCCGATGGCAGCTAGATAGATCACTGAATGATTCTGTGAGTAACTCAATCTGCCTGCTTTGCCTGATTTTGGATAAAAGTTGCTCTTTTTAAAAATAAAAAATTCAATATTTACATGCATGGTGTGTTGTGAGATAATTTTATGAGTTTGCTTGCAAGCAAATTTTACATGACAGACTGAGCTAGCCAATGGCAGATAGATTTCTGAATGAATCTGTGATTCTGTGAGCAACTCAATCTGCCTGCCTGCTTTGCCTGATTTTGGGAAAAAGTTGCACTTTTTTAATAAAAAATTCAATATTTATATAAATATTTATAATATTTACATACAAGCCATGCCCAGCCAGTTACATGACCACCAAGCCACACCCACAAATTAGGCCCCACCCACAGAACCAGTTAGTGGTCCCTGGGATCTAAAATTATGAGTTTGGTGGTCCCTGAGGTCCAAAAGCTTGGAGACCCCGTATTAGTTTACTTAGCCAATAAATTATATATAGAAATTTTCCTGTAAACATTCATCATTAGCAGGGGTAGTCAACCTTTTTATACCTACCGCCCACTTTTGTATCTACCGTCCACCATGAAAGTTAGAACGCCCACTAGTGGGCGGGAGGGACCAGGTTGACTACGAATGATCATTAGGTTAGATAACCAGATGCAGCCACACTTTCTAAGTTACATATCTGCCATCCATTTGCATTGGCCATACTGCTTTAAATGGTATTTTATAGTTCATTGGATTAATGAAGCTCATTATGTTTTTAACTTGTAGAAATTAATTAATAGAAATAGAATTAATAGAAAGGCAGAGTAATCCACCGTATAAATATAAACAAACAAACAAATAAATAAGTAATAAAATAAAAATCTAAAACAACTAAATATCTGGAGGGCACCATTGCCTATCCCAGCTTCATAACATTTAGCTAAGATTAGGATGCAAATGATCTTTGTGTAATTCAAAACTACACAAGCTCACAATATCATTTTCACAGTATACGGTGCCTAAGTATTTCAATGCTATTGTGGAACTTCTAATGAGAGTAGTTGGAGAAATAGTCATCAGTATTGACCTACAAAACATTTGAAAATGATATTTCATAAAAAGTGTTGCCACAAAGAAACCAACCATTTTTGAAACGTAAAAGCAACCTCAATTTTATTTTTAAAATTTGATTTCTATTGTGTGATTTCCTTTTTATTGCTTTAAAATATCTTTTAGGATTTTAATGTTTTAGTGCTGTAAGCACCCAGAGTTATTTTGGTAAGAGATGGATGGCAAATAAATTTAACCAATAAATAAAACTTTGCAAAGCTTAGCTTTGTATGCATGCCCAGAAACACTTCAGCTGGGATTACCAATAAAGTGAAGAGGCTGTGCACATGAACATATGTGAAGACAGCTAGAGACAATTTTCCAACAACCACATAAACCTTGTAAAGGTCTTGGCTGTTTTAGTACTTTGAAAAGTAAGATTCTGGCTAATGTGCTCCACATGCATTTTTTAATGCTTTGGACTACTCTATTCAGCAGTGAGAGTTTTGAAATGGGCTGCAGCTTTTTATGACTTACCTTTGAACAGCATACCAAGCATAGGAATGGTGTGAAATGTACATATTTTACAGCTGGACTGAGACACAGCTTTCTAAGTTATTAATATCTTTAGCTGAATTGGAAGAAATATAAATTATCTCTTTTAAGAATTAAAGAGTTAAGATCCACTTGAAGAAAGAAATTGGATGGAAATAAAGCAATGCCACAAGAAAAAAAATAATGATGCACAAATTTCAATGTGTTATCCAGAAATAAAAATGTGGATAACAAGTTTATATGAAAGGACAGAAAAAGATTCCTACCTTTAAACCGACTGCTATAAGATCTGTAACAACACTGTGTGAAAACAAATGGGAGAAAATGGAAAAGTTAGAAAAGCAGTTATTGTACAGGCAATGATAAATAAAGCTAAAGGAAGAAAAAAATATCATAAGAATGAAATGAGTTATGGAGTGTTTTTGCAAAAGAAATGGAACAGTTTAGTAACACACAATATGAAAAAGAGAGGCTTAGATAGAGCAATCAGATGAAACTTTGCACAACTATTGTTAAAGGATTCCTTTATTCAGACATACACAACACAAAAAGCCTTTCTAATTTACCTACCAAGCACACACATAGATAAAATATGCCATACTTTTTGGGGGGAAAAGTCTCTACATTCACATATAAAGAATCAAGAAACTAAACACTAGTCATGTAATGAACTATGAAAATAAGATTGCACATTACAGCTTCAAGGATGGTCTCATTTACAAGATAGAAAATGTGTAATTTCTTCTTTGTGTTATCTATATGTTGAATAATTATTAGAATATGTATCTTAAAAGCTATAGTAGATATAGTAGAAGAGGTAGCAATACTCTTTTTACTCCTACAAGGAGCAGGGCAGTCCCAAATACATCCAAGCTCAGTCTGGGAAATATATTTCAGCAGAAATCAAAAACTATGTCAATGCTGGCTGAGGTTGTAATTCCATCCCTCTTTGGGGAGTTGAGAAAATACTGGATTATGTTAAGCTAAACAATTTACATAAGGGTAATTATTTCTGAAATAATGATGTCTGGTTTTCTTACACCCAGATATAACTATAAGTTAGTTATAAGGCAACAATATGCTTCTATAAATAAAATTAACTATAGTCAATACTAGTACTTTTAGACATACTTTAGTTAGAATATCATTATCTGAAGCTGAAAGCCTAACACTTGAGTTGCTCCAGTGGTGGGATTCAAATTGGTTTACCACCAGTTCGGTGGGCATGGCTTGGTGGGCGTGCTTTGCATGCATGCACAGCAAACACGCGCTTTGCACGTACACAGAGGCTTTCCTACTGACCTTCTGCACTCTCCCTGTCTCTTCAACAGCTGAAGCGTGGCAATCCGCTATGCCGCGCGATGCAACTGAGCATCAAAAGCAGGAAATAAAGGTCAGTATGGAGCCAGGGCAGGAGGGTGGGCCCAGCAGCTGATTGTCGGAGCAAACCAGGTTCACTCCCAGATGATCTTTGGAGCTACCGGTTCAGCCAAACTGGGCCAAACCGGTAGAATACCACTCAAGTTGCTGTAATCTGATCCAATATCAATCAACTAACTTTCTTCTATTAGTCATATAAATCACCATAACAATGCAGTGCTACTGAGACTGCTAAGCAAGACATTTGATTTAAGAGGATTATCTGTTCCCAGTATGCGTTACCTGGACAAGTAATTTCAGTTACTGTTCCACAAATTTTTATTCACTCTCTTTCTTAATCACTGACAAAATAACTATGCTTTATTGGATAAAAATGAACATTCCTGAACAGGTACCATCAAACTGTAGTGGTTTTCATGCTTCAATTATTATTTTTTCATAATCCCTAGCTATTAGCCATTCTGTCAGAAATTCATGGGACCTTGTCAAGAAAAAGAATCCGTCAAAAAAAAAACCATGGTCGACATAAATTGAAGCAAATTTAACACAGTATCTCAACAATATACTTATTAACTCAGAAAAGTCTCTACATACATAGCCTTGTAACAAGCTTAGATAAACCGTAACAAATGAATACCAAAAACTCTAGTGTACACAATACATTAACAAAATTCAGGCTTGAACGGAAAAGAGGAATTAAAACATGAAAGTTGCTATGCAAGAAGTGTATTACACGTAGTTTCAATCTAACAATCAGAATTGAGCCAAACATTTCTGTTGTTAAGCAAGACAGTTGTTAGGTGAATTCTGCCCCATTTTATGGCCTTTCTGGCCAGTTAAGCAAATCATTGCACTTGCTAAGTGAATCTGGTTTCCCCATTCACTTTGCTTGTCAGAAAGTAATACATGACAGTTGCCAAGCGCCCAAATTTTGATCAATTGATCTTGGGGATGCTGCAACAGTCACCAGTGTGAAAAACAGTCATAAGTCATTTTTTTCCAGTGCCATTATAGCTTCGAATGGTCACTAAATGAATGATTGTTGAGTCAAGGACATGAATTTGCAATTTGCTCTTGCTGCCAAAAATTAAAGGACTTAACAGACATACATATATAAAGCAAGAAGTTCATATGACAAGACAGACATTTCTGTAACCAAAATTGAAGAAAAGTTCATAGTTTCATAAGCACTCATAATGTTCTTTTTTATGTTATGTAACAATCAAAATATAAACAAGAATATTAATAATGTAACACTATTTTAATAGAATCAGGAAATATACATTTAAACATAATGTATAGAACACAACCTATATAATATTAAACAAATATTTAGTGTGTGACTACACTATCATAAATTTCTAGACATGCTGCAATAATTGTCAGAAATTTGCTCATTTGTCCAGAGTCAGAATTAGAAATTAATGAATGTACTTTTAGTGTAAAGTTATGACTACATGCCCAATTGTCAAATAAGATTTGGTTCTTCTATATTGCATAAAAGAGTTAAGACTTGCGTAAAATGGATAGAAGCAGCTAAATTTTCCAAATTGACAGAAATTAGGGTGTAACAAAAGCCAGATATTTAATTCTGAATCTCCATCACTTATATTTGAAAAGTTTTAAATGTGGACTTTGGAGGAAGAATAGACGTTGTAGGAAGACAGCTGTGTAATGCACAACGACAAAAAGGCTTCCAACCAGAACATGCCACTAAATTTCTCATCCATAGCCAGGCTCTATACTACAACCCAATCTGTTCTGACCCACTTGACACAGATGTCTGACAGAATCAAGAGGCATTCATAAGAGTGAACCCGCTCAATGAGATCAGCAGACAATTCAATAGAGCTACATCAATTTCAGGGATGGCTTATTAAAGCACAGAAAAGTGAACCAAGCACCACTGCTTGTCACCTGCAGCTTACAGCTCAAGCCACTCAAGCATTATTAATAAGCTTGTGTACGTAAACTTGTGTATGTAAACATGTTTTAGGCAAACTCAGAAGGTCTTAACAAAGTGGGTTTTAACACAATTTAACAATAGTTAATTGATATTTATAATCTGTCTAATGTGCATTTGTATAACCAACCTGTCTTTCTCTCTCCTCACCCCAATTCAAATCTGACATCAGTCATCTACCCATTCCATGCATC